GTTCTGGCTCTAGTGGTGGGAAATTGCGCCAACAAAATTCAATGGTCAGTCGTCAAAGTGAATTCGCGGTTGGAGGGAAAATGTGAGAATTGCTGAGGCGGAAAAGCCCACGGAAAAACTGGGTCAATCGCCATGCTTTACTTCCTCATTCAAGCCACCAAAATATCACCCATATTGCGCCCTCTCGCTTTTTTTCTGGCCACCCAGATGTGCTGAACTTTTTGCTTTCCACACGCTTGATGTCCTGAAGAGCAAACAATGTTTGAAATAATTAAAAGCGACGCGGAAGAAAGTTCCTGGACCGCCGGCACCGACTGGGTGCGCGGTGATGGTGGAAAAGTGGGTGTATGAAAATCATTGTCGCACTGCTGGTGTGGTGGTTTGGTATGGGAAAATCAACTTTTAACACCTTTCTTTGATTCAACGGTCTCTCTCGCTTTCTGCTGAATGTGCCGGAAAAAAGAGTGCCGGCGAAATGGAAACCCGTGTATAAATTGTGTGTGCGGTTGCGAAAAAAAATCCACTGACAAGACACAACCTACGTCAGCAACGCGATAATATGGTCGTCTTTGGCGCCCCTTCGAGCACGACGCCTTTTTTTCCACCTCGACGGCAAAGGCGGCCAGAGGGAATGGCGAAAGGTGTGGTGCTGGGAATGATAAAGAGGCGGACAACCTGGGCGAATAAAGGGAAAATAAAACAGAGAAAAATTGGATTGTGGGATGGAAAAGTAACAACATTTGAAATGTTCACCCTCAAAGTTCTATTCGTTATAAAAGTCAAGGGCTATTCATTCTTAGACACCCAATAAAGAGGTGAGTAAAGAATTTTCTGACTTCCTTCAATACCGAAGCATTCAATATTCCTAGTCAGGCATTGAAATCTATATACATAAAAAAAAACTACCCTATTTCTGCTGCTGAAATCTAATCCATGCTCAGTGTCAATTCTAATGCAGAACAGATCACACTAATCTGCTTTGTGTTTTTCCCAATTTCCCGGCGCTCAAATGTCCCCCACAACACAAAGAGAACACAGACCGTCTCATGTATGGGGTCTAATTGGGGAAAACATCCTCAAATCCCGTAGATAAGGGCGCCGGCATAGGGATGAAATGTGAGATGGTGAAATCGACAAATTTGCATATATTGAATTTTGAAAGTGGGGCGCGTCGAAAGCATCTTCAATCATCTGCAACAGCACACAACCACACACACACACACACACACGCGCACACCACCCACAATAGAAGGTGTAGAAAGAACGGAAATTAAAATTCGATGAGTCGTGAAATAAAGAAAAACACCTTTGAATGTAAATCAGGCGATGAAGAGAAGGTATAAAAAAGAGAGCGTAATGGTTAAATTATTCAGAATTTTTTCTTCACACCCTTCGTCATCCCTTAGGCTCTCTCTCTCCTCACTCTATGGCTTTCGCCATTGCCACATCCTCCAGGGCAGTGCGACTTTTGCGCGGGTTGTATTTGCCATCGCAAGTGAAAGCGCGCACGAAAGTTTGTGCGGCTTTTTATGGCACTCGTGGCTGAATGAAAACAAATAATTGTGATTAGAATTTATATACTGGCGCGCCTTCTCTCCCTCGCCATTTCTCCCTGGGAGTTGAGAATTGGCAGAACCACGAGGAGACCTCCGGTTTCTGGGTCACGCTCGCTCGGCAGCTTCAGCCAGGAGGAAAATAGAAGACAGAGAGAGAGAGAAAATGTGTGTGTGTGTTTGTAAAACACAAGACGAAGGAGCCCCATTGATAAGGAGATTATTATACTTGATGGCTGGAAAAAGCGCCACAGCGTCAGTGACGCAAGAGGCCAATCGATAAGTTGGGGTGGGGGATGGAAATTTTTCTGGTATAATGATGTAATCGGGGAAGATTGTCGGTGCGTTTCTCCACTTGATCCAATATCCGAGGAAATGGGTGACATGGTAGCAAAATGCTCGAATTATACTAATTCAATGGAGGTTGTTCTCTCTGCCTGTGCCATTTGAGAATTCGACGCAAGGAGTTGGCGAGATTAGCTCTTCGACACGCAAGGAGCAGAGCACCATCTTCGCAATTGACGATGAATGGAGACGAAACACACTCCATTTATTCTCCTGCACGAGCAATAATGCCCGGAATTCAGGCGGCTATTAGCTTTTTTACTGCCAAGGAAGCGCTCTCCCTCTCTGTGTAGCTTTTTGCCAAGGAAAAACCCCCGAAGCCTCGATGGAGATAATTTGCACACACCATCAAACTCTGGGAATTCACATTTACTTCCTGTCACTTATTTAATGCTGGATTTATTGAATTTCCAAGGAAATTCGCCAGTGTTTATCACAATAGTCGCAGAGTATGGTTGAAATGTTTTGAAAGTATTTTGTACTTGTTTTGGAAAATAAATTAAGCCAAAAATGGAGTCTATTTTTAATCAATAAATTAGCGAGGAATATTCAAAGGAATACAATAAGCTTTTAGAAAATCTTCCGCTTCTCTTAAAGCTCTTTAAATCTTTCTGTGACTGCGAATGTCTCTCTGTGAAATTAAAGATTATGGCAAATTGTCTGCTTGTTTCCCAGTTTTAGACAATTTCTCTAAAATTCACCAGAAATTCATTCCCTCTCATGGCGCTCAATCATGACCCACACATTTCCTCTGGTTTTTTCCCCATCACAGGAACATGTGAAGTTCTGGGTAAAAAGTAAATTGATTGATTAACCATTTTACCGACAATGTCGATAGATGAGCTCTCGTGTGGTATTCTTGCTGTCTCTTTCTCTCTCTTACTCACTCTCACATCACATTGGAATCCCACCCGAAAATTGAGGACACGTGTTTGACACTTTTTGCTGGCTGTGACGATGAAGATTGGCACAACACGCTTCAAATGATTAATTCTCGTGGTGCACAAAATGTGTTCTTTCACCTTTTGCCATCCCCATCACCAATTTTCTCACATAGCCCCATATAGCGCATGAAAATCCTCAAACTCTCAAGCTTTTCGCCACATAAATTGAACGTGGGAAATTTGAGAGCCATGAAAGGAGAAAAGTTTATAATGCATACACAGTGTGCAGCACCAGGTGGTGATGCGTCGCGTCTCATGGCGTTGATTGGCAAAATTTACCATTCAACTTCTCAACACACACAGCGCGCGCGAAAGCGAGTGAGAGAGAGAGAGATGACAAATTCGCGCTAAAGAATACAACATCGCCGAACGAGGTACGCATTAAAATTAAATCAGAGATCCTCGGGGGTGGTGGAAAAAGCTCTCATCGCGGATGAATCGTGTTTGTTGGTGTGTGGATTATAATTTAATCATACTGAAACATGCGCCAATGGAGGGAGGCTTCTTCAGTCCCTCTTCCACCCCCCTGCGAGACAAGCAAGTTAAACATGAGAGACACCTCTCACGGCGCACACAGTGAAATTGTACGGAGAAGAATAAATTAACGCTTTTCTCATTGAGTCACTGTTGGAATTTAATGGCTTGCTCAAGACGCCACCAAATGAGGCCAAAATTGGTACTATTTTATTTTACAGCATTCACATTAGGAATCCAACCAAATATACATATATCCCATTCATTTTCGTGTATATGACATCAAAGGTGAACAACTCTTTATGAAAAAAAAACAGAATTTTCGAAGTCTTCAATACACATTTGATGATGGCTTCTTCAAGTGCTCACCGTGCCGAAGAACAACACTCACGCGACAACCAGACAAAGAACCACACATATAAAGGGATGAAATCATGCTCTTATTGGATTCCATATCCATAGAATTGAATGAAACGTGTGAGGATTCCTAAATAAAATATTCCATCTCTTGAGATTTATTGAATAGAAAAAGACTCCGCACTCTTTTCCTGGGAATATTTATACTGGGAGCCATTTAGTTATAGTGTCTCAAGTGTATCGAAGATATGGTTAATCGAGCAAGAAAGTGCACACAAGGCTGATGGTTGGGCTGATGATATACTTCCATTTGCACCAACTTCGGTTAGCGTCAACATTGACAAAGAAAATTCTCCACCCACACTCTGAGACAGCCTAAGAGATAATTTACCGACACTCACCATGAGTTCCTCACTCACAGAAAACGTCTTGTGAGCCCCCGAGATGGAGACGCAAATGGCAAAAGGATGGCTCTTGAGGGCTTATCATTGAAGAGGACCAAGAACCTATATTTAAGGACTATCAAATTATTTCTCCCACGCAGAAAAGGAGAGCTTTTTCTAATTATACTATAATGGGAGACTTGAAAATGCTAAAAGATCATTGTTGATGAACTTTTGCAGATCAATTGACTCGAATTGACCACACCATGAGTTTTAGTCAATCACTTCACCCTATGACAATCCCCTCTGATGGTTGAATGATGAGAAAGTTGAGAAACCACGGATAGAATATTCTCCTCTCGGAAATTGTATAAATTATTACTCTGCGTCCTTTAAGCTTCCATCTTGCTAAAGTGTTTCGGTATTTATTTATTATTAATGTGTTCCTGACACCACTTTCATCGTCAGGTGGCATCTCAGGAGGCGTTGACACTCCCAAGAATTCCTCGTGCCACTCTCGCTCTCTCTCTTGTTCAGAAGAGGACATGCGGACACTTTCGTCTCATATATCACAGATATTCCCACCCATGATAATATTGTAGGTATGACGAGGAAAATTAAATTCTCCTCGGAAAAGGGCTCTCTTGCAAGTGTGTTGAAGACAGCGGGAAATGTCTCACATGCCATAGTAAATGTGTCCGTGCTATATCGCAAATTGATGCGAAATGGGGTGTCAATCATTGATGGTGTGTTTAAAAAATTATCACCATGCCATCGTAATTGATTGATGTCTCTCCTGACACTCTAATGGATGCTCTCGTTTCTTTTTATACCCCCCCCCTCCCCCACACACACAGGAGACTCTTTTCCCGCTCCTTAATGATGGGAATAGAGCACCCCAGAGGGGGGCGCAATAGAAAGGGGAATGATGTTGGGGAACTCACCTGAAAGTATGGCTGTCCTTGATCCACCCATCCGATGGCCATGTCAGCACCAGACAGCGTTCCATCCTCAGAAAAGCCAACACCAACGTAGCCCAGTGTCTTGGCCTGGATCTCCATTGTTATCTCTGCACCGCGCACCGTCCACAGGAGTCGAAAGTTCTCATTGAGGTCCACAGCGTGGTCCCAATTAGCACCCCAAGCCGCGCTGAGGCACACTATCATCAGAAGTGACACCAATTTGGACGACATTGTCACCACGGAAAAGAGTCTACTCCAATATATATGTGTGCAATTAAATCACCGGAAAGTCACTGTCTGTGCAAACACAAATTGAATATTTATCGCCAATCTGCACTTAATTAAACTTTCTCTCGCAACAAATTGCACGGACAATCTCTCCTAAAGCACAATTGTATTAATTACTTCTCAACACGCACACCGTTCACAAATTCACTCGCAGGGCGGCAAAACTTCCCTCCACATTGGCTTACACAAGTTTGCCAAAAACACCCCCTAAAAGCCCAAGCTTATCTCTCAGGGATGTGAAAATATGTGTAGCAGAGCACAAACTTTTCTGCGCGTCTGGACTTGTCAGATCTCCTTCGGCATCTGCAAGAAAAATGGCACAAGTTAGTGGATTTATACTATGGCGCCCACCCACATTTGCTTGTAATTTGCCTAGAGAGATGTTCTAGTGAGATGTGTCACAAGAACAATGTGTCTGTCGATTGAATGTGACTCTTGAGTTGTGCATCCTCCACGAAGGAAATTGCGAGTGCAATTGAGGATTTGCGCTATGTACACTCAGAGGAAAGCATTACAGCGCAAAGTTTATGTTAACGCCATCAACAAACACTCTTCAAATTGTTAACACGCGTGAGTTTATCATATAGTTTTCTGTCAGAACTATAATATGGCCCTCGTCTTGGACATTATTTCTCTGAGTGCAGCAGAAGCGCATGTTTCTGCAAACACGCTGACCGACGACGCTCTGCATAATTTCGCGATGTGATAAGCGCAATGAATGATGAGCAGTGACACTTAATCTTACATTGCTTTATCTGATTTAATTATTAATCAGGCAAAAACGAGAGATGATGCTTCTCTTAACGCCCTTTCACGCGCGCGCGCGCGCGCTTCGTTATGAAAGACGAGCACACAGCGCGAGCTTTTGACAAAGTGACGCCAATTTTCCATGCGCATCGTGCACACACTAAACTTTCAGACGCGAGATGCAAGCAAATTGCAGGGGAGAGAAAAAAAAAGAATATGTAACAAGCAGACATTAATTAAGGCTGTGACATTCTTGCTGATATGCTTTAAAAGCAATGGAGAGTGAGGAAAGAGAGATAATTTGTGGTCATCCATAAGAATCGGGTGTAATAAAATAATATGTGTCAATCATAAATTTCCGCTTGTTTTCCCTCATTTCGCGCTCAGTGATAAAAATTGTCATTTGGACATGACACACAATAGAAATTCATCATCGCGCAACGTTCGCTATACAACCCATGTTAGACATTTCAGTTGCTTTGATGAGACTTCTTTTATTTGTTTATGCCCATAAAATCGGATATTTTACATTTCACATCTCTGCAACTCGCTATTAATGAAGTGTCGTAAAAATTTCTCTGTCTCTTCCTCCGGATTTAGAATTGTCGATATATATTGCTTTCCTATATTTTTCCGACCCCTCACAAGAGCCAATTCGTGAATCTTTCCTTGAAAAACATCCACACAAACACACACACATGCAGTCAGGCTGTGTGTGCTTAAAGAGGACAGACTTTTTTTTCAATTGTCCCGGGAAATTTATTTTTCATTCCGCCAGGGAAAATAAAGAATTTGTACGAATTTGCGGAGACTTGAGCAAAACACACAAATTAAATTCAATTGAGCGTGATAGTGGCAAAAAATATACTCTCTCTTTTTCTCTCTCTCTTGAGATTAAAGAGTGAATTTGATGGGGTATGAGAGAGAGAGGAATCATTGAGGAATTTTCTTCAATTTAATTTTAAACTTTGTATTACAAAGTGCTAATTGAAGTGTCGATAGTGACAAGTCGCAAGGGAAGAAAGAAATGCGACTGTGTCTTGTCCTAAATATTGACATTGAGCAAATTTACATTCATTCTCCAATGGAAATATTTACACAAATAATATTTCATCGTGTCTAGTTTATATTATTATTTATTATTCAACTCTGACGATGTGCTCGTCTCGCATTTCTCTTTGGGTTCACTGCTATACATACATACATATATAGTGACATGGAAGGCAAGAAGCAGACTCTCTCATTTATTTACTAATTCAATTTAAATGTGATAATGCTCAAGTTAGCATCATCAGAAAGTCAAAATCAACATGAAACTACCCAGCAAATATATTTTCTTCACGTCTTGCACTGACTTCACTATGGCTTTGGGTGCTGCTCTGCATCTCTTGGCCTCTCACCATCAATGTTATTTATGAAATTACACAAAAGCACAAACTCAACTATATGCTTACACCCTCAAAAAACTAATAGACTTGCTTGGTTGGGGAGAAGAAAGATTTCTCATTTAACTTTTTGTACACGAAATTCGCATTTCGGACCATTCTTGTCTCTCTCTCTTGGACAAATATACGAACTCCTGGGGATGAACAAGGTACATATATACATGTTTGTTCAACTACAATACAATTTTCCGTCTTGTTTGCTCAACTGAAAGAGTGTAAATCAAAATAGGAGACAATTTGTGCTTGTTTTTTCACGTCATTCGAAAGCACAGGTTGTCATCACTGCCTTGATTGTCGTCGCACCAGACGAAAACATCCCCTTTCCCCACACTTTCCCTCAACCATGCAAGAAAACATCGCCAAACACAAGATATAAATGTGAACTTTCCTCAACAGCTTCCTCACATTTTTCCGCATAAAAATGTTGATATATATACAATGTAAGGAAAATGCCTCATTTTGCATTTGCACTTCATCAACGAATTTCCCTGAGTTTGACTCTCTGTTTCTCTGGGCTCCAAACGCCAGTCCATGTTTGCAGCCTGGAATTCACAAACAGCATCCCAAAGGCGAATGTTGGGTGAACATTGGAAAACTCCTTAAGGATATACCAGAATGGAAATTGAGCAGCAATCCTTGAGCTCTCCGAAGAAACTTACAATATGCTGTACAGTTGCTGTATATAATGACAGTGTGGTGGAAAGTATATATATATATATGTTCAGGGGAAGAAATTGTGCATTTTATGTGCAATTTCCCATCCGTGGTAAACTTTATTTACGCCGCCAGCAGCTTCACGACTCTTCGCCCATTTCTCCCAGTGAAAATGGTGGCGTAGGACATGACCAATCTCGAGTGGCCTCCGCAAGAGGTAAAAACACACACACACACACAGCGAGAAAAGCGCAATGAAAATTGCTGGAAAATCTACGAAGAATCACAAGACATTATAAGATCCTGTGACTGACACAAACTTTTCCATCTATAAGCATTTTGTATACACACACTTCCAACACTTCTGCATTGCCTTGCATGCAATGCAATTCATAGATGAAGTTTTACATTTATCTCGTCTCTGGACCGATAGTAAGTTTGCAGTTATGGACTTGAGAAACTTGAGAATATCCTTTTGCAATTTTCACACCATCTAACTTGTGTTTGTGTGTGTTAATTTCTTAGAGATAGTGATTTCCTTCAGATTTACACATTGCGAAGTTTCAACAAATTTAATCGTTAAATCCTCCCACTCTTGGCCATCAAGGAAATATTTGCTATGATTCTTGTACAGGAATATTATACCACACTGAGGTGTTACGACAATGCATGGGGTTCTAGTGTTGAGTCTTGAAGTTGATACAACTTCAAAATGTATATATCCGTGGAATATGTATACCAATTTGGGAGAGTCAACTGACTGTGCAGAGTGTGATTTTGTGCAAAAAGTATATGAATGACAGAAGTGAATTCGGCGTGCGATGCGTTTATAGTTGGCGGAAAGTGAGGGCGAGAACGCTTGCGGAGGGCCATAAATCTGCATGTTGGAATAAATCAATTGAAATCCATTTATTTAATCCTCTCGAGAATCCCTTCAGTGTGTACAACATTTATGGATTGTCCGCCTGGACGAAATGGTGCAGAGAGAGAGAGAGAGAGGCAAACGGAAAGCCACGATATAGTGCTGGGAGGGAAGTACCTGTGATTTCCATGAGACTATTTTCAATTATCGGCCATCACCCACTCATCCCCTAAACCAATGGACTCACGGCGTGGTGTTGGCTACTGTAACTGACTCAATGGCAGGACAACAAATGCGGAGAGGCTGGTAAAACATTGACAATGTACATCGGTTGATGCGGAGTTCGGGAGAAGCATTCAGGATAACAAAACAAAAAAAAACGGCTGGAGGGTGGAAAATGCAAATCTATCCAATCGACAGACCAGAAAAAATACAGAATACCTGGGTAATTCAATATTCAAACTATTGCCAGTGTGTCGTCCTCAGTTGACATGGTATCCTTTTTTGTGCACCACCCACAATGCATTATACACTTGATTTGCTTCCTCCAAGCCAATCACTCACATCGGCGACTGGCAGAAGAAGCCACCCATTCCTGTCACTGACAGCAACTCATGGCATTCCGTCAAGGTGGCTCAATTGCGGAGTACATTTAACGAGTTGAGACATTAAATGACATAACTTTTGTCAGTTGTATGAGGTAAATAATTTTTAACACCATTAATACGGGACTAAATTATACCTCATATATGAACAAGTTTTCCATCAACTCGCACACACTCCATTTCATTTCTAAAATTGACTTCCTCAGCAGCAGAAGCTTTTCCATGAATGATGCATTTCCACGTTGGAAAATACCTGCAGATGACACAATCTATCATCTTCAACGCGGATTTTATTGCAAATTTTTACACCTCATTCCTGACATTTGCTGATGCGCGCGATGTTTTAATTGATTTTGGCCGTTGTTTTTGGCGGGTGATAAGCTGATTGATTGATTTCACATTTGCATGGGTGGTTTAGTCTAACAAAAAAAAATCACTTTTCATATCATCACGAAACGGTCTTTGTATGCATTTTGCATCCACCAAATAATTCCATCAACACATTCTGATAGACTCTCAAATCTTAATTATACCTATCATGCCGGATTTCTTGTCAATCCCGTGCACTCTCTCTCGGCGAAAGCCCACCCAATCAGTGGGCAATTCATAAAAAAGGAAAACGAGGGAGAACTGGAGCAAATCACCCCCATCATTGGCATAAAGCAGAAGCCAATGCGAAGGCTCTGGAGATGATCATTGCGGAAGAGTAATGATGGAAATCACTCGCAGTGGATTTCTGTGGCCGTAAAAAGGCGCAATCATTACTCTTCCGCTATCGATGGTGAGGAAAGTCGAGCACGAAGAAGTGAGTGCGGAGTGAATTTATGATGGTGCGGAAGTAAGAAGACGACACTCTCTCATATCGCCAAGGAGGCACGCACCGCGATGCCTCGTGCATAAATAATTTCGCTCCTTTGGTCGTGGTTGAGAGGTGTTAACAAAACACACACCGTGAATTTGTGGTTGGGCGAAAAAGGTGTCTCAAATTCA